TTATCACCAAGCTCAGAAATTCTTTCCTCAGCTCTGTTCATCTTACTAATGAGCCCCTCAAAGATATTCTTCATTTCTGTTATGATTTTACTTTCAAAAAGTTTTGGATTCTTCCTCCAAATTTCCATCTCTTTATTTGCATTTCCCATCTGCTGCAGCACACAGCTTACTGGATCAATTAGAGCCCTAGGCATGTTAATTGTAGTTGTTTTCAAAATCCCTGCATGATAATTCCAACATCCTGGCCATAACTGAGGCTAGTTCTGATGGCTGCTGTTTTCCCAGACTGTGTTTTCTGCTTTTTGATTTCACTTGTAATATTTCCTTGATAGCTGTCTCTGAGATCTGCATAAAGGAGTTGCTATGAATAAGTCTTTAGTAATGGAAGGATGAGGTGTTGGGGGTGGGAAAACATTCTTTCTTCTAAAACTTTGAACTCTGTTTTTAGTGAGCCTCTGAACTGTAATCTTTGTAAGAGCCTCCAGTTTTTTCTATCCCTTAGATGGGATAGAATGGCTGGAGGGGGCTGGAGTTGGATTTCTCTTCTCTCAGGTCACCTAACATCCAATAATTTATCCTGTAGTGCAGAGATGGTGAACCTTTTAGGGCTTTCAACGTACCAACAGCCAATTGCCACCCATAGGTTTGCTACCACTGCTCTAGTAGAATAGTTTCTTTTAAGATAATTGGGATGAGGGAAAAGAGAAAAGAAAGAAGGGGGAAAAATATATATACGTATACACAGGATAACTAACATAGTTGTACTACTGACTTTTATTGCTCTATTGAAAGGAACAGTTAATGTTTAAGTGTAGGATTAAACTTACATGTCTGTATTTCTTTATCTGAGTATCCAAACTGAAGATATCAATATGTAATACAACAACCATTGTTAACTTCCTACTACCTTGTCTGAGATTCTGTATTGCTTGTATTGCTTTTGTGGGTTTTTTTTGTTGTTGTTGTTGTTTTGCCTTTGTTTTTGTTTTTCTTCCAGTACAGGGAATTGAACTCACAACTTTGGGCTTGCCAGGCAGGCTCTGTGTCGCGGAGCTAAATCCCCAGCCCCTTGTGTTATTTTTTAAATGTATGTGTGTTTGTTAAGATGTTTTCGTTCTTCTATCTTTAAGATAAAAAAGCCAAAAGATCAAGCCTTGGATAAAGAACACAACACGCAGCCTACTTAAAAATGATATTTTTCTCATCTTCCTGCCAGAAGCACTAGGGGATTATTTTTTGTTTGTTTTAATTTCTGGCATAACTTTGTTGAATTTCAGGAGATAAAATTCACAAATGTATGAAGCCTATGACTGCGTCCTTTTAGAGTTCTTAATTCACAGACTTGTCCATAGATTGCTGCTTAGGGAATTTTACTCTTTTTTTAAAAAACTTTATTCTTTTTATTAGTGCATACTTACCATATGTATTGATCACATTCATCATAGGAAATGTGTGTTATATGGATATATCACATCTCAATGCTTCTGTTCTCATCCACTCCCCTCCCTTCAAACCTCCCCATTTCCACAAGCTTTGCTTCCAATTTTTCTTCCATTCTTTCTATTTTCCTTTTTCCTTCCTTCCCTCCTCCCTCCTGTCTCCCTTGTTCTCCTTCTTGAATTATTTGTGGGAAAATGGATGCACCTTGAAACCACAATCTTAAGGGAAATAAATCAGACTCAGGAACTTAAATATCACACTGCTCCTCTCGTGTGAGAATCCCGAAAGAGTAAGGAAGAGAGTAGTGGAAGAGATACTGGGAAGCAGAAAGAAGCTTTCAAATGGGATTTTACTCTCGCGAGTTGTGATCCTCTGCACTGGCCCGCTCCTCAGTTCAGGGACAGGTTTTCCCTTGTGACGTCTCTGAAAGATCTATGAAGAGCTGTTTTTTTTTCCAGTTTTTGTTCATATTTTTAAAAATGTTTTTTCAGGAACAGACTGACAACTCCCAGACTCTTTACATGCTGGGGGAAACTGGAACCTGTATAGAAGTGCTGTGAGATTAGATTGGAATGATCGGGGAGCACTCTCTAAATAGATTAAAAACCACAGAATTTCATACTTCTAAAAAAGTGACTTTTATGGTGTGTGCATTCCATCTCAATGATAAAACAATAGAAAAGACTGGCTAGGAGTCCAGGTGACCGGCAATTTGCATTGCTGATGATAAACTGAAGATTAGGCGGTGCTAGTTTCTTTAGTATGTTTTTTCTTTTGACTGTAACATTGTTCACCCTTAGCCAAAACTTTAATTGATAACTCTTCATGTTATCTTTTCGCATTCAAGATTTAGAAGTCAGCTGGGCACAACCTTGTTCTAAAACCATATTCATAAATACCACATCCTTAGTCTGTGACCTAAAATACCCATCATGTTGAGTAATAATCTAGCCTCCAAAGAATTCAGTTGACGAAAACTAATCAGATTTCAAAGCCCAACCACTTATGGAGAAAATGTTCCCAGGAGATGGCTTCAGGCATTGGCTAGGAAACTGGAAAGATTAGAGATTTTATAAATCAAGAGGACAGAGGCAATAAGAGATGAATAGAAAATAAAAAAACAGCTTTAGTGATAATCCTTGGGTAAAACAGATTTGTGTCTCAATTCTGTGCCTAAATCACTGTGATTAAGAGTTAATCTTAGATCTCAAAGGGCAGCTTTGAAAGAACACCTGTATTTTAATATTTCTGAGATGATTAGAATTGGGAAAGACGTGTACTACCGATGTGCACGTGAGTGACCCAATACTGTAAGGCAGGAGAGAGAGAGCTGGTGGAATTCTAGCAGGGGCTAGCATGCAAGGAAAGTTTTTGGTGTGTACTGAGTATAAATTCTGTGGCACTAAGACTCAGAAACCAAGCTGCTAGAATTTGAATCCTGGTTCTGTGGTTTGCTAGCTCAGTGACATTGGGCACGTTGTATGACCTCTCCTCCCTCAGTTTCCTTACCTATGAAATGAGGAAAACAGTACTATGTTCCAAGGTAGTTGGTGACAGGTGCTGTCTACCTGAGAGCTCTTATAAGAAATAATGAATAACAGTGAAAAATAAACCCATTGAAGTTATATACTATACACACAAATTCACACAATGAGAGCATGCACTGACATTCTAACACACATACACATATATTAACAAAGGAATCATCAAATGAATGAAATCTGGAGAATTTGGTTAAATTTTTCTTGATATGCTCTGCTGTTATTCTCAACAGCTCAGACACTTAAGTCCAACACGTTGTTGAGGACCCCAGGAATAAGTAGTTAAAGAAAATATGGAGACTTTGAAAATATTCAAATTTCATTAAGACACTGCTTTAATTTTAGAAGGATCCTTCATTACAAGGGAACATGACTCTGGCTACGATGAAACACCTAGTACTGCCAGTTTTCTCACTGAACTGCACCTATAGCACAAACCTAGGTTTGTCCTGGAGCCTCAGATTAAACCCTCCTCTCTTTACCAAGTTTACTGTGTGTGGGGAAGTACTTGCACTGACAAAATATCTAATTTGTTCGGCTATCAGATTTTAAGTTACCATATAATATGTGCTTATAGGAATTTGTGGAATAGAAAAAAGTTTGATAATATCTAATGAACAGTAAAGAAATAAAACTAATGTGAGTAATCAAAGTCTACTTTTAAACAAACTTCTCTAATTCTGAAGGGGGTTATAAATGGGGATTGTAAGTGTCGTGGACATTTTCTCTCAGCTTTTCTGCTTGATTTCATTCCTTTCCATTTTTTTCTGCTTCAATATTGTTGTTCCCTACGTGACTTGTAAAGAGATGGAAAAATTGTTTTGTAAAACCGTATCATAAATATAGCTCTATTATTAGCTCAGTAGCATGGGGGAGAGTTCGATTTGGTTCCTCCTTTGCAGCATAGTCTGTAGCTCAGATGAAGATGTCCACTTCACTTTTGGATCCCTCCTAAATTACTGCACCTACATTTGATATAGTTCTTGATACATACAAACTTTAAAATTTTAGCTATTAGAAATTTCTTTGGAATTCATATAGATTAATTTATGCTCTTCTAGTAAATGAACAATTGAATTTTATCCAGGGATTTAAGAAAACACAATAGATCTATAGATTCTGTTTAATATGGTTATTTATTCTTTGTTGAACTCCAACACCCTGGTGTGGAAACTAGGCTTGACTTTCAGCTCATCAACATTTTTGGATAAAATAGAAGAATTTTATATTCAGAAGAATGTGATATTCAGTTCATTATTTATGTAGATTTAAGAAATCAGCACACACACACACAGCTGCATGAGAATTCTTGAAATGGCTGTCTCAGCAATGTGCTGACAAAGAAACTCCCACATATTAAGGCTTTTCCTAAGTAGCAATTTGTTTCTGTGACATCTAGGTAGAGATGAAAGAATTTCCTATTAGTGCCTAAAAGCAGAAAAATATGAAGTAGTTAAGATTCTCAAGTTCGGGTAAAAAAGAAAAGATGATAATTTCCAGGAAGGATTAAAAGTTAATTTTAGGACATTCTGAGGCTATAATTTAATTTTGTATTAAAAGTCAATGTAAAAAGTATGAGGTTTGTTTGATTTACAAGGCCAGTGACGCAAGTTTCCAGTCTAAAATGTCATCTTTGCTTCAGTTAGGAGTGAAAAATAATACAGTGCAAAAGAAACTTCCTCATTAAAGAGGCATTGAGCAAGAAGAATCCAAGAAAATATTAGGTTGGGGAATTTAATGTGAGCATAAATGAGAGAAAAAGAAGGAAATTTATTCATTATTTATTTATTTATTCTGGAAGTGTTTTTGGAAAAGCTCTAAGTAGCTGGCATTGTGCTCTATGCACTGGGGACAGTCGTGGTTGACAGTCCCTGCTTTAAAGAATCTCTCGAGCAGCAAGACAGGGTGACTCATCCATCATTTCAGAGCAGAAAATATGTCCTTAGCGAACTGATGTGGGTGCAGCAGGACATCATGGGAGGGAAGGAAACAGACAAGAAAAATGAAGCCAAAGAGATATTAGCGACTCTTCAGAAAAAGCAAAAACAATTTTAATGAAGAAAGTGCTTGCCCTTCAGAAATCAAACACATTTAATACTTTGTATAATACATTGAAGATATATCTTGTTCTTCAAAATGTCTTTTCTTGAAAACATTATGAGGCTCAATCATGATTACGAGATACATGAAATTAAGGTTTTGCACACAACTACTCATTACTCTATATAGTACATGGTTTATAAGATTCCACAAGTCACACAGTTTATGCAAAGTAACATAAGCTACAGGAAGTTTTCAGGTATCTATTCCTGCTAGCTGGAGTGAACATTTTTTTTAAAACATTGTCCCTTTGTATTCTTTCCTTTGAAAGATGGTTGGTGAAGGTTAACAATAATTTGCATGTAGGTACTGCTGTATAGAAAATACCATTTGCATTTCTACATGTTGCAAAGCTGAAAATGCCTTTTGAGTTACATGATGGTGTCAGAAAGTTTGACAAACACTGAACAGTCTGTAAAGGATAGGAAACTTCTTGACTATCAATTCAGATAAATATACTTTACTTGCAGCAATGCTAATTTATTTATTAAACTAATTACTCTGAAATGCTTTGGTTGTCAGGTACCAAAATAGTTTGGAAATCAGGGAACTGATTTCCCACTTACTTGTGGGTGGTCTAATTCCCCATGTTATTCACAGCTAAGAAGCATTTTGATACATTTTCATCTTACATGAGAATCAGAAGAAGAAAATTAAGTCCTCTCTTAACATTAGAAAAAAAGGACAATCATTCCAGAATAACTTGATTCTCTTTGGGTTCCACATTCTTACTATAGCTTTTGCATGCTGTCACCTCTGTAACAGACTAAAATGATATCTCTCATTCATGAGGGTGACCAAATGCAGTGACACTCTAATCAAGATGTCCCAATATAAGGCAAGTTTAAGAAGGCTAGTGCTTCTGAAGTCAGTTTATAGTAATACTTCCAAGAAATTTCTTTCCAATAAATACAGTCTCCAAATCTATATATTATGTGCATAATTTCATGAAAAGCACTTCAAAGAAATCTGGTTATAACCATTGCCAGGAGAGTCCAAAGCCCACACATTCTGTTCCAAATGTAATAATGACAACCATGACAAAAGCAGTAAAAGGCAAGATAAGAAACTCTTGATCTTTCTCAAATGATTTCAGCCACATTCCTTGGGAGAACAGGTAATGCAAGTATGCGGCACGCTGTCCTTGCTTTCAAATAGATGTCAGTGAGACCATATGCTCCAGGCACTTTCAGACTTTTTCATTATCATCACTGTTGATTTTTTTAAATGCAACTGGGCTTGCTTGCTTCAAAGAAGTCTTTGACACATCCGTGTGCATGGTGGACATGGCTATTGTCTCATAGTCATCATCCCGAGACCGGAAATCACAAAAGTTAAAGAAGAACTGCAGGTCTCTCTGAAAGTTTTTGTTCAGGAATCCATAAAATATGGGGTTGACACAAGTGGATATCATTGCTGTGAGGTGGCACAGCAGGAATAACAGGTTGTGGTTGCACGTGGCAATGATCTGGTGATTCCAATCAAACACAGTGTTAAAGATGGTAAGAGGCAACCAGCAGACCGCAAACGCTACCACGATGGACAGCAGCATGACGTTGATTCTTTTGCTTTCACTGGACCTGTACTTATTGTCTCTCATCTTGTCCATCATGTTGTTTCTCCTTTTCAAGCGAATGTATATCTATAAAGAAAAAAAAGTGAGTTCAAATAGAACCACTTGTTTAACGGGGAATTCTACCGAAAGAAGGTAAAAAGGGAGACAACAGGGAGAAAAGGTTTTCTTACCTTAAAGTAGCATATAAATATAAAGCAGAGGGGACCAAAGTACTGCAGCACCAAGAGAAGAGTAGTGTAAGACAGCCTGTGAGAGTCCGACGGAAATTTATCAAAGCATACCAACTTGTCTTTGAACGCATCCAGTGTTACATTCTGAAATGGCTCATCAGTCAGCACTTGGTAGATCAGGAAGGGCAGAGAAGAAGCCACAGCAAGGACCCAGATGACAGCAATTCCTATGTAAGCATGTCTGTTGTTTGGTCTCCATCCTCGGGGGTTGACTATCAGCTGGTGTCGTTCCACAGCGATGAGGACCAGAGAGAAAATGGACACGGTGATTGAAACGCACTGCACAAAAGGGTTCAGTTTACACATCGTCTCACCAAAGACCCAGTGGTCCATTAGCGTGTAGACAAAAGTGAAAGGGAGACACATGATGGCAACGAGCAAGTCTGAGAAGGAAAGGTTCACGATCAGGATGTTGGTGACATTTCTCATCTCCTTTTGTTTCAAGATGATTAAGATCAAAGCCAGGTTTCCAGAGATGCCAAGAATGATCACAGCTCCATAGGCAAGAGCTAAGGTAAATATCACAGCCAAGGGCAGATGACAATCATCATTTTCAAACGCAAAAAATGGGGCATTCTTCTCTGACAAATTATAGTGAATTGAATGATTTTCAACCTGGGAAAATAATGTTGAATTCATTTTGATTGGTTTTGTTGCTACAGATTAGACAGATGCACAATAGGCTTCTTCAAAGCATTTTAACTGTTTGGCCTATTCCTCTTCTCCTTGCTGGGATCCATTTGCCAAAATTACTCTAAGTTCTTCATTCCCATGAACGGAGCAACCTATAAAGAGAAAGTGACCGATTCTGTTACTAATTTTACTAAGGGCAGTCAAAATAAATTTTGATTTGTGGAACTCTCTAAAGTGAAGACATTGAAGTAAGTAAACAAAATATAGTTTTGTAAATGTATTTTTTAAGTGGAAGAATCATACAAGTATTTTTGAATTTTAAACTTCCTGATGTATTTTAAAGTAGATTTGATTATACATTGAATATCAGTGATCTATACTTTAGTAAGATGTATCTAAATCTCACCCCTCCCAAAATCTTATACAAACAGCACATCAGAACATTCTTAAGCACTATAAAAATGTGAGTGTGTAACAATGCACATGGTAAAATATAAAAAATATAAAGCAAACAGCAAAATAACAACACATACATAATTATTCATTAAACTATGTAAATGGTAAAATTAATTTGGAAGTCAAGTAAGAACGGCTCACCATATAATGGACTGCTTTTCAAGACAAATATTATTTAGCTCAAGTATATTCAAAAGGTGATGATGAGTTCAGGAAAATATCAAAAAACTTTGCCAGAAGGGGGAATGTGGGAAGATTAAATGATGTTTTATCTAGGAAATACTTAGAACAGTGGAGATATCATCACCATATTTTAATACGTGGTTTTTAGAACACAGGATCCAGGTTTAGAATATTATATCTAACTATACAAGTTAGAAGTAGAAACAAAAGATGCACTTTATTTACAAAATCATATCATTATGAGGAACAGAAGTTTAATTCAATGGAATTAATTGCCTACAAAAGTAACAAGAGATACACTATAGGGAAGACCACTTTGAAGAAATCTTGCATCGTGCTGGAGCCTCTAAAAGACTCCAGGATTTTTTTTAATTTGTCCAATGCATTCAAAAGATTTTTAAGGGCTTTACCTATGGAAATATCCTCCATTCCCACCAGACTATATGTGTATCTAATGTAAGGGTATACACTGCAGTTGTAATCTTGATTTCCTACATTTTTTGACATAAATATTCCTGTCTTACTAGCAAGATGAATCACAGACAATAGCCTTGTAGAGATTAAAAGCTGCCTTTAAAAACATCTCTGATTTTTTAGATGACTAAATAAATATGAGATGGTATTACTTACGTTAATTTAGAGATTATTGTGGCTGTATTAAGAAACTGAATTATATTTCTTTCTTATGTGAGGACAATAAAGAAAATTGTGTAGGTTTACTTCCACTGAAATGAGAATAAAACATTTAGTGAAGACAAAAATGCATTTTGCCTTCTAAGTGATTCCTCTAATAAGCCTTTCTCTTAGTGTTTTTGCTTTCCAGAATATGGGATGTTTTCTGTTACAAATACGCACTTTGGCCTCATAAAACTGAAAAACAATAAAATAAAAGTTATTTTCAACCAGGCAAAATAAAGTAATAAGGAACGGTAATGGAATGATTTGCAGGAGAACATCATTAGAAATATGGCTCTTTCATTCTTTACGGAACACCCTGGAAAGTCTGCCTAACACTAATGGTGTTATCATGCATCTTTTTAAGAATTTAAAAGGCAAGAGCAAGAGGAGAATGATCAGGTAATGTCGGTTTGGATATGAGAACAAACTGTGAAGCAGTGGGTAATAATAATTTTTATTTTACTTTTGTTAAGGTTCTGAGGATTGAACTCAGGGGCTTCACATTGAGCTACATTCTTCAATCTTTCTTATTTTTTATTTTGAGTCATGATCTCCCTAAGGTGCCCAGGCAGGACTCAAACTTGGGTGTCTCCTATCTCAACTTCCCAGAGTGCTGCGATTACAGGTATGTGCCGTCATGCCTGGCACTGCAACAGGTAATAGTTTTAAAGTTGTTTTGAAATCCTTCACTTTCTTAGGCCATTCAAGAAAGTTCTCTTATTTCACATAGAAATTACTATAAAGCTGCTTAACATGACTTATCAGTTATGAGTTTTTCTTCATTTGTGACAATAGTAGCACAGTAACAGTGTATATCCTCATTATCTCATGGTTCCTCATGGCTACCTGTCAACAAGTTTCACCAGGTAATGCAAATCCTGGTATGAGATGCACGTGGTGTGGATTATTGCTTTTCCTTAGCCTGACACACAAACATCTTTACAGACCTTCTTTCCACTCTGCACTCCCATAACCCCAGTGTGAATGTTGCCCTAGGCAGGCTGATCTATTCAGTCTACCAAGTATAACTGCGTTTCCAGCACTGTCATTCTCTGTGCTTAATGTCCTTTCCATTTCATCATCAATCAACATCCTACCCATCCGTCAAAGCATGATTTAGTTCCTTGAATTCTTAATGGGCTCCCATCAATTTTAATATGATGTCTTTAAGGTAAGTATTGTTCATGCTTCATAAAACCTTGAAAGTATTAGATTTAGAATAAAAATATGTCAGTGACAGAGAAAGCACATGGCTGGAATAGTAAGTTCTCATCTAAATTGATCTTAACATCAATTGCTGAATACTATCATATTCTTTTTAAACGCAACATGAATGCATATTACAATAGTCATTCTACGAGGTCAGGTAGATAAGGAAAAAAAATAGAGCTTTGTATTAAAAAAAGGGAACTGTTTCTGAAAGAACATTCCTTTCTCCAATAAGTATTTTTTTAACACCTGTTTTGTGACAATCTTTGCTTCAGCGGAGAGAACAGTGACCTTTGCGTTGTGTTTCTGGTATTGTGGGCAGAGAAAGACAAGAAAAAATAAAGTGAAAGATATAGTAAGCTCGATGATAATAAGTGCTATGGACAACAAGGAAGCAGGGAAGGAAGATTCGCATTCTTGGGTACTGCAACTTATTACTGGGGTAAGAAGAGGCCTCTGACAGCCTGAGAAGATGACGTATGAGTTGAGACCTAAGGGTAGTGAGTAAAGACCAGAGGAGTATATCTGGCATGCTAAGCAGCAAGGAAAAGAGCAATGACTACAGGGGAAATTAGCAGGAAATTAATTGGGGAGGCTAAAGGGCCAGCACAGACTGTGTAGGACTTTATTTTAATGGGCTGCTCTGCCTCTTACCTCCAAGAGATGCCACTGCAGAGTCTTTGGCAAAGACATAAAGTTTTACAACTCTTGCTTTAAAATTGTTACTCTAGCTGCTGCCTCCAACACATTTAAGAAAGGCAAGAGAATAAGCAGAGAGACTCATTAGTAGGCCGGTGCAAAATTCCACGTACAAGGTAATACGGGCACAGACCAAGGTATTTACAGTGGAAGGGAAGAAAATAAGTTTTATATCCACTGATTTACTTTCTTAATTATGGAAATTCATGAAAATATCTATTAAATTATTTCACTGCCTGGGTTATGAAGACAGAATTCTTACAGATAAGGTTAGATAAATATTCTGAGAACCTGATAACTTTGAAATTATATTTGATAGATATGCCTTATGAGGCAGAATGGTATTCCTACTAAGTAGAAGTCAACTTAGCTATACAGAAAATGCAACCTTTAGTCTTCTAAAAAATTTTTTCCAGGCTTCTTTCACTAAGTGCATTCCAGTTGGGCAAAATAGTTTATCACTAGATAAAATACATATTTTCAGTTGACCTTGGCATAATTTCAATAAAGAATGGTTGTCAGAAAATAACAATAGTAATACACTTTACATACCTTATCTTTGCAAAAGAAAACAATCTGGTATTTACTATTCCAACATATATCTGTAAAATAAACTTCACAAGTACAGACATTACAAAAACTTAACACTATTAAATATCAGTAGAGCTGTCATGTACAGAGACAAAATAGAGATACTACATACAACTCCACTCGGTCAATGAATCCCCTTGTAGGAGGAAATCTCCTTATCCTTGTTTTCATTTAGAATCCTGGGCTTTCTCTGCCTACTGTTCACAGTGCTCTCCCTGCTAGAAAAGACAACTCTCTGGCCATAAATTATTGCAAAAATATTTTTGTTTCAATTATTGAGAACTGTTCACCTCTTTTGTTTAGGAAGACATGTGTAAGTGTTGTTACCTACAGCTTCTTAAGCTACTGCTAGCTTATCTAAACAAGTTATGTAATTCTCCATTCCTTCCCTGCACAGGGCGAGGGCATGTTCAACAGACAATAAGGAAGAATAATAAGATAGTAGCCAGGCTTTAGCGATGGGTGTGGAATTGGACTCAACAGCCTTCTGCTCTCTGTACCTCTTGCTTCACCAGGAAACCTGTGGCGAACCTTGGTGCTGTTCTTCAGCCCCAGCCCTGACAGACAGCCAGCTCTGAACTTGCCCCATCAGTGTGTGCCATAGGGAGTTACCTTTTGCCTAGGATCCAGGAGGGCATGGCAAATCACTGAGCAGCAAGAAAGAGAGACAGAGAGACAGAGAGAGACCGAGAAAGGAAGAGAGAGAGGGAGAGAGAGGGAGAAACAGAGACAGGAAGGAAGGAAGGAAGGCGGGAAGGAAGAGAAGGAGGGAGGGAGGAATAAAGGAAAGAAGGGAGGAAGGAAGGAAAGAAGGAAGGAAGGAAGGAAGGGAGGAAGGAAGGAAGGAAGGAAGGAAGGAAGGAAGGAAGGGAGGGAGGGAAGGGAAGGAGGGAGGGAGGAATAAAGGAAAGAAGGAAGGAAGGAAGGAAAGAAGGAAGGAAGGAAGGAAGAGAAAGAAGATATTCCCCTCCTCTGTTTTCTCTGTGCTCTAGGAGTTACCAAAGAACCAAATGAGATGTATTCCGTCACCGTCCAGCTGGCGTGCTTTCCTGCCCATTTTACCACACTGAGAATTAGCCGGATCTCTTCCAGCCCTCATCCCCTACCCATACACAGGCATCCGTCCATCTCTCAGAAACGTCCCTCCCCGAGATGACAGGAGACTGGCAAACAGCAAGCGCCACACCAAACCCAAACAAGCAAGCACCTGAAGTCAATTTTCGCATTAGCCCAGCACCTGTCTTTAAAACATGTACATCTCTCCGTTCTACCTGGGGATCAGCTGGACACCGTGATAAACCACGTTCTCCTGGAGTCCACCCAATCCAGCGCGGTCCATCATTAACCATTCCAAAAAGAAGCTGAAGAGTTCGATGATTAAAACTCCGAAGTAGCCGAGGGCTTAGGTGTCTGCCAGGGCTCAGGGACAGACTCAAAAAGCCCAGCGCAGGGGGATCTGGGTTCGAGTCCAGCCTAGACAAGCGGAGAGGGGTCCGCGCCCCTGGGCCAGCCCACAGGGGGACACCCACCGGGGACAGCGCCCGCGGGCCGCCAGGCAGAGGCGAGGGTGGACGGCTCGCCCATCCCACCCACCCTTCCCAGCGCGTCCCAGCCGGGACTTCGGGAAAACTCACGCCCGAAGACCGCGGCTCCAGAAAAACGTGAAAGACAGCGAGGCGCGGGGAAGACCGAGGAGAGCGCCCTCCCGGTCCCCCGGGCCTTTAGGGTGCTTCGGGAAAGGGGGACCTGGAACCCCCTCCAGAAACCCGCGGCAGCCGGGGCGGGGGCGCGGACTCCGGAAAGACGCCGCCGCCCGCTTCCCCCCGCAGCGCCTGCAGCTGCCGCACATCTGGCGCGTCCCGCACCTGCCCGCACAGCTGGGCGCCCGCACCTGCCCGCCCAGCTCCGGGGAGAGGCAGACGGCCGGCTCCACGCCGCAACTCAGTTTCTGGAGCTCGCGTCCTTTCCCTTCCTCTCTTATCCGTCTCCCCATCCACGAGAGATTTCTCAAAAGTCCCAATAAAAAGCGTCAACTTGAAACTTACCGTCCCCTGAATTCGTCTGTTTCGGCCGTTTGTGAAAGCGGGAAAGCTGTCCTGGGGCGGGCAGGGAGAGCGGCAAAGATCAGCCGCGATTTCTCCTGCTCAAACCCTAAAGATCGGTGAAGATAGGAAGAGACGCCCCCTTAAAGCCGAACTCCACCTCATCCCGGGATCACATGACTGCGCCCCGAGGAGCACCCGAGCTCCCCGCACCCCACGCCTCCCCCGGGAGAGTCACCTCGAGGGCGCGTGGCCTACGAATTGTGGAAAGCAAAGCAGTGAAACCCAAGCCGCACACCGTGACACACACGCACCGTGCGGAGGAAAGCGAGCCTTCATCCCCGCAGAGCCTTTGACTCCGGGAAGGCGACGCGATTTCACAGTGCTTTTAAAAAGTCAGCGCCACCGTGGTTCCTCCTTTGTTTGCAGGTCAGTGCCATCTTGTGGCCGAAGTCACTCTCGGCTGAAACCTCTGGCCCAAGCCTAACTGGAGATTGAAATGAGTGGTTATTTATGGGAAGGGGAAATCTGCAGTTCCCCGCAATAATGCCACTAGATTTTCTGCTTTCCTTTGTGACCCCTAACTATTTCTCATGTAGATACGGGGAAGTTAATTTTTTTTTTTTCTTTTTTTGCTTTATAAGGGAACAAAAAGACCTTGAAAAAGCCACAGTGGCGAAGCTCCGATGAGAGAGTCTGGCCTTCAAGCCCGCCTTTGTATCCATTGAGAAAATACTTTGAGTCATTTGTCCCCAGGGTCTAGCCGCTCTTTATAGTCTTTTGGGGCCAAGAGAATGAAGTGAACACTTCTCTGATATTCACCCAACTGCATAGACTCCAAAAGAGTCTGTGCAATTTCCTTCGTGCTTAACCTACTACAGTACGGAACATGATTAAAAAAGAACCCACTGAGAGGGCCTTGGAGGTGCAAACTCACCGTGGAGTGTCCTGATTTAAGCTGATGATGGACACACTGATCTCAGATGCTACTTGGTTCCAGTCTAGTTTAAAAGATCAAAGTTGTGCAATAAACTCACCCGGCCCCGTGGTTTGCTAATGTCAATGTCTAGAACTTTTAACAAATCGAACTGTCAAAAAGTCTTCCTAATAAAGATATGGGCACTACCTAAGACAGGCATAAAGATTTTATTACAAAACAACCCTGATCACTCCGTGTCTTCGATCACCTTGTGTCTTCAAAGTAAAAACAAAATTCTGAAACATATGGAGTCACTCACACTTTGCATTGTTGAAAAAAAAATTTTTCTACTTCTGCTTGTTAGCATGAATAATCATTATGTAAAGTTCAACATAAGGTTACTTATTTATATAAATGGTGCTGTACACAATCTCTTTCTCTTCAGAAAATTTTCTAAAATATTTGTCATATGATATTTTACCTAGTTCAGAAAGGATTGTGACAAACTACATGATCACACTATATACTATGAGTAGATAATAAGGGATACGAATACGCATTTTTAAACTCCACTGATAGTAACAGTGAAATGCCTTAAAATTATTTAGCAAATATTCATACTTTCTCTGCACAATGCATATTGTCAAACAACCTTTAGACATTCAGCAAAAGTGTAATGTTATCTTACAAAAAATGTAACATTATATATTATATCATGTAACGAAAAGTTTTGCCATTGTTACTATCATTGTTTTAATAATAATAGTATTTTGGAATTCTGTGTATTTCTTACTGAAATTTCGTACCAGCCTGACCTATAAACTAGGACTGAGGTAATTAAGTTAATGACCTACGTCATGTTTGTTGTGCAACAGTCTTGCTCTGTTATTTAAACTGAAGGGTAGGATTGACTCATTAAATCTAAACCAACCTTAGAACATGTACATCTAAAGAAGTGGAACACTTTTATAGTCAGGCTCAGCCCTTAAATTTTATGATTCAATAACTGTTTAAGTAAAAGGGTGTCGCTGTGTTTGCTACTGGAACTTAAACATTGTAATTACATTATTAGTCTCCTAATGAATCTCTTCTGTAAGGGCTAAAGTTCATGAAGCGCTACTCCTCCCTGGTACAGGTAAATTATCATACAGAAGAATCCTGATAGGCACTAAAACTCCACATGAAAAGTGAAATGGAGATGATACTGACATGGAAGACATCCTCTGGTGTAGAACTGACCGTGACACACTGGTGAGATTTCCCAGCAATATCCCAAATACCATGGGACAGAGTCAAGCCAAGAGACAGAGTAGGAATAGCTGGTGAGAAGGGAAAGTATGAATGGAACCACCAGGAACTTCTGTCACGTATGACAAACATCCCTAACCGTGTGTCTTTTCCAGACCCTTCCCTGAGGTCTCTGAGTTGTTATTAGATTCTTTCATAACACAGCACTTCAAATATAGAATCTTAGTAGAATAGATTTGGCTTAAGGTGTAAAACTCTGATAGCAGTTTTTCCTAAAGAAAGGAGAAAGATTCCTTATATAAACCTAAATAATATAAAAAATAGAACAGATAGAGGGGGAGAAGTGTCCCTGGTTATCTTTTTCTAAGGTGGGTACCCTCTCTTCATTCCTTTGTTTGCCATCTAGCCATTGCTTTTCTTTCCCCAGATGCATATAAATCTAGAAAATATTCAGCTATCCAAAGACGCTTATAATATAATTTGATTCTTCTGAATTCAGGACATCACTTAGCTAGCTCTCCCCGGGCACAGTATGTTAGAATAAACAACACAAGTGCCTAGATTGGACATTTAAGACAAATCCCTGGGGCTGTGACTCCCAATCTTCTCTTCTAAATTACTTTGAAATACCCCACCTCTCTCCCAGCCTATTTCATACCTTCAATTTCCACTGAGTCCTCATTTTTCAGACGAGCAAAAACCAGCATGGGTTTCTTCCCTCTCTTACCCCTGGTTTTGGCAGTGGATCCTCTAAATAGCTGTTTTAGTCCCAGACTGTGAGTCAGCTTACTCTGCGGAGATTTCCCAGCAACGTCCCAAACACCATGGGACAGGGTCAAGCCATCCCCCCTGTGCTCTCCAGATTTGCTGACCCATACAATCCATCAAAGGGGGAGCATAAAAGCTGTGAGTTGCATTCCACTAAGGCTTGTTGCGGTTTGTTAGACAATGATCAGGTAACTATAAACATCCGCTTAGGTACTGACTTTCTCTATTTTTTGGCTCAGTATTAAAATAAAAACAAAAACTAAATTCCTCATCTCTTTCTCATAGTGACTCTCTCACCCAGGTCAAATCTTCCCTGGCTGCCTTCTCTTCTCTGGCTAATGTCTCTGAAGATAAACTGCCTTACATCTTCTCTCACTTTCTCCTCTAATATGGCTCTGTTGAAACTGATTCTGCCCAGGACACCTATGAACAAAGCTGGTGGACACAAGTCATGGTTTATTATATTCATTCTTTATGTTGTAGTGGGTCTTTTTCACTATCTTCTCTTCCTGGAATCTTATTTTCTTTCGACTTCACTGACATCACACTTCAGGATTTTCCTCACAGATATTCCTCAGCTTTCTTTTGAAGGATCTACTGTCTCCATCTAGTTCACTATCTAGTTCTCTGTGTAGGATCCTATTATCTAAATGGGTTAAAGAAAGCCTCTCTGTGTTATCCTGTACTGCTTCCCAAATTGTCTACTTCCTTCACATCAGGCCAGGTCCAGTAGCTCCACATCTGGCAACACCAACTGAAATTCTGGATGTCAGATTACTTTAAAACAGTCAAATAATTTTTGTCATTGAGCACCTATCTACTTTGCATATCCTGTAAAACTCTATTGAAAATCTGCTAATCATAGATAAAGGATTGCTGCAACTATAAAGGATACCACACCACTGCAGTCTCTGAGAGCTCTCTGACCCTGAGGCTCCCTACCTTGCTGCTTAGGGATGTTACCTGGGTGTGTAAAGTTATCTCTCTCTTTCCCCTTCTCTCTCAAGAGTTCCCTTGTCTTATCCCCTTCTGGGTGGTAAGCTAGCCCTGCTCCCTCTAGAAGCTAGAGAACACTACCTTTGTCAGGCAAACCTTCCAAGCACCAGCCAAATAAAGCTTGTGCCTTTCGTGATCCTGTTTCTTTCTTGACTGTCCTTGAATCAAACTTCTAGAGAGCCCAATCTTAACTGTCTCCTTTTAAAATTCTTAATGCATACCCTTTGCCCTGGTATGTTCATATCCCCAAATGTCTATCAAAAGTTTAGATTTCTGTCAGGTTTTTATGGCAAGTGTGTGGTTTTTGTTTCTGTTTTTTAGCTCTTGAATGTAATCTCAATCACCATTACCATCCTTCTCCTCCAAGCCAGAACTCAAGAACCAAGCCAGGCATTCCTTTCTTTCATACTCTCAAATACAACTGGACATAGATATCCATTACTGTTTCTTCTAAACATCTCTTACCTGTGTTCTTTCACCTCCACCAAACTCTACTCCTGTCTCTATGAAGAGTCTCTGCCACGAATTCCTTCCACAGCTACCAAGTCATATCTCTCCAGCCTAAACTGACAAGTTCATCTCTGTGCAGATCCTTTAGGTGAAGTGCAAACAATGTTCTGTTAAAATAACCACCACTGTTAATTCCTATCATCTTATTTTGAAATCCTGTATGGTTTTTATTGCTTTTGTGTTGCTTTGTTTTTGTCTTTGTTGCTATTATTTTGTTATTGTTTTTTTCTCTTTAAAATAAAAAAAAAATAGTTTCATTCTCTCCCTCAACGTTTGAGTTAACCTGAACCATTTGCTCTTTTCTGGATGTGTCCTCTGCCTTTGTTTCCCACAGTGTTTCCAACAGTTTATGAGTCCATTGCCTTCATCTGGGTCTTAACTCTTACCCATTCCTCAAATTTCAATGTCAGTACCTGCTCAACTGCAAAGGCCTCTCCTACATCTCTTCATCTCTCCTCTCTCTTCACAGGCTGTTTCATGCTTAATTACATCCCTGTGCCACTCTGGGTTTACTTCTAATATGGAAATTATCACACTATATCATCCTAATTGTTTAATTGCACAGATCTACAACTGCACTGTGATCTCTCAAAGCAGTGAGTAACCATAATTTTCACCTCTTTAAGCTTAGAGCCTCAGATAATATCTGACATATCAGAAAATACTGAAGAAGTTTTGTTGCAAGACTTAACAATTAAGACTAGGTTAGAATTAAAAAAGATTCTGAATGGCATAAGTCAAACCCACTTCTTAGTTTCAGACATTTGCAGTTATGATGGGTTATTGTCATTTTATGCACACAGATTTTATGTGGATTGCTTACTACCATGACCCTGAATCTTTCTATATTTTTGGATTTTCTTATGTGGTATTTTTACCTTCCCCATTAAATTTAAGCTTGAATAATGAACCCTACCATCTCTGAAAATGTGTATAATGTCTCCTGGAGGGAATGTATATTTTTTACTACATCCTAGATAACATATTTTTAAAAGAGGAATTACCTGGGAGAATGTTAAGGTAAGAATATAGTAACATGGATTTTGGAAGAACATGTTATTCAGAGATGTTAACTTTTCATTATGAGTTTGTGCTTTGAATATTTTCTAAACATTCTTTTTAAAGACTATTCAAGGGGCCAGGAATATAGCTCAGTGGAACAAGTGCCTGTCTGGCAAGTGTAAGGTCCTGAGTTTGATTCCTGGTACCAAAATAAATAAATAAATAAATAAATAAATAAATAAATAAAGACTATTCAAAAACATACCAAAAATAAATAAATAAATAAATTCCTTTCCATTTCCAGTAAAGCTATATTTAGACTTAGAACTACGCTTAAGATATTAATCATGGGGGCTGGGGATTTAGCTTAGCGGCAAAAGCGCCTGCCTGGCAAGTGCAAGATCGTGAGTTCGGTTCCCGGTACCGGAGAAAAACCAAAAAAAAAACCAAAAAAAAAAAAAAGATATTAATCATGAAAATTAGGTAGCAAATGGAAAAACTCTAAAAAATATTAGAGGAAACTTATCAATGCTATTGTTTGAGAGGAGTTTTGATCTGCAAAAGGAATAAATTGTGTTGCCTGTATATGGATTTACATGATAAAACAGCACATCTCCAAAGGAATCTATGTTGTCCCCTTTCTATAAATTTTGCACCGCAAAATTTTAAAATAATTCTTTCATAAAGAATGATTTTTTAATGAAGACACCACAGTTTTTTGAAAAGGAAGAATCAAATATAATTGTATAATTACAATGGAAAAGATAATGTATGAGATAAAAATGAAAAATTTTAGCAATACCATTTTGTTCCTTCTTTTTCTTAAAAGAAACAATATCTATGACTATCAAATTTTTCTCAAGATGCAAAATGATTGCTTTTCTACACATCTTTAATGTGTGCATGTTAATGATAAATGTCATCAGTATTCAGAGTTTAAAGGGGGGCTCCAGATCTGCTAGTTGAAACATTTTCTTTCACAGACCAAGAAGGTAAAGACTAAAAGATCAAGTGCCTTGTCTAGAGCCATACTGCTAAGATGGGGTAAAGCCTATCAGCAATCAGGTGCTCTAAGGGTCTATTACAGAAATATGCATGCAATGTGTGATCACATAACTCTATACATGTATATTACATGTAGGTCTGTATGAATTTTCAATGTAGAATGTTAACTTTTAAAAACAATTGTACATTCTGGAGTTCAGTCACTGCTTTATACTTGGTCAGGCAATCAAAGGGAGAAAAAAAAGTGTTACTTAAAGAGCTCTGTGTCCATCAGAAGAAGCCAATAAGGTATTCACAGTGCCTGCGTAGGTCCTCTAAATTATTGTTGACTTACTTGAGAAAATGCACACAAAATTCTTGGTTAACATATAAAGAAAAGTTTCTGTTCCATCAAAAATAATTGTGTGCATTTTACAATTATAAATTAGTTCCTTGTTTTTAAGCCCTAAACATTGCTGTATATGACAAACTATTAGTATTCCAAAGAAATTAATAAAACAAGGAGCATCGTAAAAATATATTGATAACACACAGAAATGATGCTTTCCACATCTTTTAAGAACTTAAATTTACCATGATATAAAAAGTAGACACAGAAATATTTATCCTTAATGGATACAACAAAAATCCTTAGAGAAAAAATGCGTCTAGTAAAATAATGCTGTTCTCGTTTGTCTCCCATCTCTCCTAGAACTAATACATCAGAATCACATGTCACTTGAGATTGTATCAAAGTACTTTAGAAACTATCTTCCACAAATGGTAGCTATTACTGAAATGGAACAATAATCTTGCCAAGACAACAGACATGGCCCTCAGCAAAGTGTTACCCCAGGCATGATTATTCAATAATTTGTTTTAGGAGTCTCAAGTGATCTATAACTTTTACCTTTACAGATAGACAAGCTTTATTTCATAACCGATGACAAATCATGAAAATTGTTACATAGCCAGTTTAATTTTGTAACATGCACAAAATCCAACTTAATTTCCCAAATGAGCATTTTGTAAATACTGAGTAGGGAAAATAATGAAGCAGAGGTGGACATTACCATTTCTGTTCCCAGAGGTAGTACAACCCCTGCTTGAATGCTGCTCCATTACATGGAAACAAAATTATTCTTTTCTGTGCTACAGAAATGGTGATCAGCCTTGAATCCCTTTGGAGAACTGTGAAGATGCAAGTCACATTTATATTTACATCTTTTCTTATTTTCAACACGTGCAACATTGTGCTAATCTCAAATTAACAATTTCCTCAAAACAAAGGATTCTTAATCACTTGTTCACTCATATATCCTTAATACTGTACGTCATAATGTGTATTTAGAGAAAAAGTTCTAGGTCCTTTTCTTGGGCCTTGCATGTTTTGGGGTGTACCAGAAAGAGAAAATGGGTAAATTAAATAGAATCTCCATCTCCAAGACATATGGGCCTTTTATTTTTCAATAATATCAACTGCTCACTCTAAACGTTCATATGTCAAAAGAAAAATCAGATGTGTGGAAAATAAAAAATAAGGTTTATCTTGCGATTTTAATATGCAATCATGTGTACTGTAGGCTTTTTTGAATAGTGGTCATAATGTGCTTTGTTCGGAAGGTTTTTAAAGCCAGTATGTAGTTGAAGCAATGTACTATGACCGTGAAGGATAGGAGGGCAGAAATCGATGTGGCCATGTGCGGTATATTAATTGCACAGAAGCTGGCGTTAAGGAAGTCCAGGATCAAGCACTTGCTTTCTCCTTTCCTGGGTCTGAGGCTGTAGCTCAGTGGTAGAGTTCTTGCCTTGCATACCCAAGGCCCTGGGTTTGATCCCCAGCACCGAAAAACAAAACAAAAAAGAATTTAAAAGCCAGGGATACAACTCAGTGGCACAAGTGCCTGCTTGGCAAGCACAAGGTCCTGAGTTCGATTCCCGAAAAAAAAAAAAAGACAGCACTCTCCATTTCATCCCTTCTTGATACTTCCAGCCCTTCTTTCCCCCCATGCAGAATCCCAGGGGCCTGCTCTGATGCCTACTGTGTTAAGCTATTGTGGAAAATACCATGTTTCAGAAACAAAACCTAAAGGAATAAAATGGAAAATGTATTTTCTTGAGGCACGTAGAAGTTCTTGGATAATTCTCTGGCTGATGGAATGATAAGCTATTCAGACCCACGGGATACTGGAAGCTAAATCAATAGGAAAAGGGCACAAAAATTGTTGCCTGAGCTCTGGAGTAACAGCTAGCAACTGCTGCCCCAGAAATTTGATTTACAACTCAACTGAGCCCCAGGGATAGAGCAGAGTACCAGCGCCCTGGCATTATACTCATCAAGCTATGCCACGTCTGTTGCCAGTTTTAAAGAACCACAGGAAACACATACCTTCTTCCACAGCATGGGTGTCCAGAGCGCTGTGGGCATCTGCCAAACTCTTCCTACCCTCCAGAAGCCCAACGATCTGCTAATAATTGACTAGAAGCTAAAGCAAATCTGCACAATTTTTTAAAAAATAGAGATTTGGAAAGCATCAGGGATGAGAAGCATGTGGGGCCGGAACAGAACAGGAATTTGTCTGTTTGCTTGCTTGCTTTTTGTGCGTTGTGTGTGGGAGCGCCATCGCCAAGGACACCTCTGTTTCCCCCTACTTTTGTTAGCGAGCTCAGCCTTGGGAAGAGCTGACTCTATTTCAGACTCCCTTTGGGGGCTCCAGGCCGCTGCCCACATCCACTGGTACACCTTAGGTGGGACTGTGTTCCCTGTAGGTGGGATTGTGTCGCCTCACCGCTGACTTCCTGGGGGTCCCCTGCACTTTCCAGTTTACCTTCCCACCTAGGTTTCTTCCTCGTGCCCAGAGGGTGCAGGAAGAGCTGGGGTTCCTTCTGTTTTGCCCGCGCCCCATCCATCTGAACAGAGTCAAGCTGGGCCTCAAGCTGTTCTCAGGAAGTCTAACCTAAAATTATTCCCACGCCCACAGAGTTCGCTACAAGCCAGGGGCAAGACCCGCAAAAGTCTCCTTCTCCGCCAAGTTAACACGGTCCTGCAGCCCCAGGCCAAAGAGGGGAGCGACACCCGGCAGATTCACCCGAGGGCCACAGCGGGGTGCGGAGCAGGACGGCCCGGGATCCGGGTTTGGGGAGAGGCGGGGGCGGAGCAGGCGCCCTGGAGCAGGGTCTCGGGGGTCCCTGGAGCGGTCACGTGTTGCCGAGGCGCCTCTAAAACCCTGGCGGCTCCAGCCGCTCCTCCCATCGCCACCGCCAGGTCCCGCTCCTGCCGCAGCTGCCGCCGCCGGGGTGCAGAAGCCACCGCGCTCGGCTGCGTTCCCGGAGCCCCGAGCCCGCAGCGGCCCGCGCGCCGAGGTACAGCGCCAGGCCCTCTGCACCCGCAGCGGT